AAAGACCACACATTTCAACACAGGGTGATTGTTCAATATCCGTGTCCTTATATATTTTTAAATTGCGGCTTTTGTTAGTTTTGCAACATAGTCCCGTTGAAAAAGTATATTTAATCGCATCAGCACTAATATAAAGCGCAAATGCGCTTAATAAACAAGAAAACCATATTTTTTCGAATAAATAAGATTTGCTTTAAACTGAATCGTGTTTCCCATTTGACTACCGTTCCAAATATCACTTTTGAACAGCCGCATGTTTCACATGGGCAAAAACTCACCCTGTATGTGTAATTTTAAGCACTGCTTTCGGCTCACTTTGAAACGTATGTGAAGCTCTACACTAAAAATGAGTTTAGGCGTAATGATTGCGATTGGCACAAGTTGACGACGCGTTCGGTAAAAGAACCTAGAAACGCGATAAACAAACCAATTAACATGGTTTACACTACCCTATACATAAATTAGGAATATTTCAAACATTGCCGAATCAATACTCTAGCACTGGCAAGGGGTCTGATTTTTATCAACCCCGGGAATATTGGAGACGACCAGCCGACGTACTGCGCATTGACTGTGTCCTTTCGAAACACTTTAAAATCGATCCTTCGGGAGGACAACGTTTGTCTTGGCTAGAAAAAATTGCAGACTTCAAATGATAAAACGGCCTTATTTTTCATAATTTAGGTCATTGCATTTGACCGACAATATGCCAATTGTGGGTCATTTGCTTTAGAAATTCTTCCCATTTTCTGGCAACCCCGAGTTCAGTCATATAGCTGAAAAATTGGTGTTTTACTAAAATATCAGTTCAGATTAGGATTGCCCGACTGATTTAAATTTCCCGCCAAGTTCAACAGCTGATTATCAAAATGAAGCCAAATTTGAGGTTATATGCCTTCAAAACTAACCAAAACATTGCGTAAATTAACTATAAAAACATGTTTTCATTTAGCGTATCCACAAGAATTAATCAAGTTTCGAAGGTGTTTGTTAGGTATAAAAACCCTCCAGATCACTGGGTATGTCTGGCCTGGTTTCATTATGTTATTTAAGATAATTTTGCCGATTTTTTGATGACATCCCTCCAAGATTCACGTTTCTTTACACTATTATTTAATATCAGTAGGCAACAGCAGTTATTCTTTAATCCATAAAGCTGCCATAAAATACCAGAACATTTCTATTGCCAGGATGGTTGCAATTCTCAATAGAAAATGTTTATATTTTATCGCAGCAGAAAGGGTTTAATTCACGAAAATGAAACCTATCATAATATATAGATTAGCAAATTTCCAGCAGATGCTTTCTTGCATGCCATTTCACTTTACTTTAAATGGGTAATTTTATTGTTGATCAGGTTGTCGCGTTCAAAGTTAACCTTACTTACCTCATAAATAGTCTAACAAACTAACTTCTTTCTTTAGAAGTGTGAAAATTCGGTTTTCAATAACTTTTCACTTATTGAAATTCACTACGTTCCCATAAGGTAACAAACGACGCTTCTCCCTTTCTTTGGTAAAGTGTTGCAAATATAAAATACATTTTGCGCTTTAAAAATTCACCCACAGAGAAATTCTCTTTGCAACATGTCTTTTTGTATCTCTGTACAAACTACTTAAAAGTAATTTATACGGCCAATAATTATATATATATAATAATAAGACTTATACTTTGAAGTAAAAAAAGACAGTAAATTCGCAATGTACACTATTGTAATTACAAAAAAACGAAAAATGTTTAAATTTGAGAAACCTCATTAAAATATATTAATGACATTTTTCCAGTCTTGAAGCGCTAACAGCAATATAAACTTATACGTTTGTTTTGTAACAAAAATTGGCAGTTTTATTAATAGCGTGGACACAGGCACGTCGATGGACAATTTTAATTAAATGAAGAATACGCATTTGATTTTTCACGCAATGCAATTTTTTGTATTGCTTGCCTTCTAACATATTTTTTTGTACGACGACTAGAAAATGTCGATTTATTGCACAGCGTAATTGAGATTCTGTTAAAAACTTGACTTCCCAAAAAGCGGGTTTCTACCCGCAGGTTAGTTCAGTGTTAGAGTTTCTTTATGCGTATATTACTTAATCAATAAATTAAAATGTGTTTATCTAGACATTAGCTTTCAATATGTACGTTTTTTCTGTGTAACGTTTTTATATCTAGATCGCAACCGAAGCGTTGAAACATATATTAATAAAAAATATATAAAAGCCCATTCTAAAACCAAGCAAGGAGTGTTGCCACTCAAGTAACATTCTGCATATCACTTTCCATGTTTATTACTTGAAATTCTACCAAATTTATGGCAATATTATGGTTCGACCGACCTAACGAGCCGAGCCTGAACCCTACACGATCAATTTTCTGTCGGTCTTTTGACGAAATATTAACGCAACTTGCCGCGGATCAGGATCAGCTTGGTAGGTCTGGACGCGGCATTAGGAATTTTATCACGCCCTGTGCCATATAATAATTAATTAAAATCTTTCATACAGCTCCAAGTGGTAAAAAATCCGCAAAATATATTTACTAAAAATGTCCAAAAATATAATAATATGCCAGATAAAACATCACCTTGCTTTAAAAAACTGTTGCGCTATGAGAGCCCAAGTGAACTAGTTTCATTTTGTATTTTGAATGTTATAACATACGTTGTTGACGTGTGTTACTTGATTTTCATATTAAAATATAGAAGATAGATATATATATAGTTTCGTAGTTCTAGAGTCAACATTGCCCAGAGAAACCGCCGAATAATGCTTTTTTTCTTTTAGTTTTCCTTCACTTTTTTAATTTTATTGTATTTTATTGTAGGAGATCGTATTACTAAGGATACGTGATTTTGTAAAGCTCATACATTCCATTCTCCAAATAAAGCTACTTTTTACAAATTTTCTGAAAAATCTCGCAGAATATCGGGTTATCCTACTTTTCCTTTACATTCAATATTAATACGCTGCCTTTTAAGCATTTGGAGTAACTTCAAATTTCATCCCTTTAGAATCATAGCGTGAAAGAAACTCACCCTTTTCCAGATATTTGACGCCGTTTTCTTCGTCCATCCAATCTGTAACAAAAAGCCGACTGAAATTGGAAATCTTGGATTCTCAATATAATCATGTTTTATTACGCTGTCTCATAAAAAAACAGCGCAATTCCATGACCGTAATTTGACTTGGATGAGCAAATTTACACAAGCCAAATTCGTCAAAATATTCGTGATTACATTTTTAATTTATTTTAACAATTATAATTAAAATGGTAAAAAGGTAACGAAACCCGAACGAAAATCAGTAGCACTTATCAGCAGAAAAGTTTGCTTTTTTTCAGATTGATAAAAAATGCGTTTGTACTAAAAATTTGATTTTAAATATAAATGTATTGCTTAAATGCATATACTTATGCAACTCACAAGTATTTAACTCAGTTTAGATATTAACTGATTTTCAAATAGAAAATTTCAATAAGTTTTTGTTTTTGTTTCAGTCTGTGGTTAGAAAGAAATCCCATCCTATCGATAAAGCTCTAGCACATTTCGACGATTTCTATAAGCAAGTGTTTAGAAAAAAGTGGTCTTCCATACGGGAAGGATTATTGAGACGACATAAATATGTGGCGGTGATTAACAACTATGGGGACAATGAGGAAACGATGGCCGAACTTGAACTGGGCGGTGCCCTAAACGTTAGAACCATATTCAATTTGGAAAAAGGGTATATTACAGAGGAGGTAGCAAAAAATCAGAGAAATGCTGCATTGGAGAAAATATGGCAAATGGATCGAGAAATGGAAGCCAAGAATAGAAAACAAGAACAAGAAGCTGCACAACCTCAAGAGCAGCCCGTGGTAGACCCCTACAAATATTCTTTAGAAAGTAGTTTAGAACATGCCGAAATAGACTCAAACCGAATGGTTGACTCAAACAACGCTCTTACAAAGGAAATATTGAGTGAATTTATTCCAGCCACCAAATTAAAAGGCAATGATGGCTTTATTCTTGAATCGGATCACTACAAAATGTTTGATCCTTTCACATCATTTAAAACAGAAAAAGAATATGATTTGAACTTTCCGGAGAACTTAAATATCTACTGCTACGAACAAGATAATTTCAGCACCTTTGAGCCCCCTAAAAGAGGCTCGACAGAAGTACTGAACTATTATTTAATGGATGGCGGCTCAATTTTACCAGTATTAGCTCTAGACTTGAAGCCAGGTTGTTCTATGTTGGACATGTGCGCTGCCCCGGGTGGCAAAACTTACTTGGCTATACAAACTCTATATCCTAATTGTATTGTGGCTAATGATGTAACCAATTCAAGACTGAATCGAATAGAAAGTGTATTACATCAGTTTCTCTACGATGTAGAAGAGAGATGGTTAAAACCAGGAAGAATCAAACTGTGTAATAATGATGGACGGTGTATTTCTGTAGATAACTTTGATAGAGTTCTGGTAAGTTGTAAGTAATGTTGTCCGAGTACAACCCAGTGATTTGTTCTGAGTAATATATTTTTATCGCTATTGATCTGATTGATTTCAGGTTGACGTTCCTTGTACCACTGACCGCCACTCGTTGAAGGAAAACAGCAATAACATATTCACTTCATCCAGAGTTAAAGAAAGACTTCAACTACCCGAATTGCAATCTGAATTGCTTTATAGTGCACTAACATTAGTTAAGAAAGGAGGCATAGTTGTATATTCTACCTGCTCTTTAAGTCCTATACAGAACGATGGTGTGGTTGGAATGGCTTTGAAGAAAATTTGGGAAAATAGTAAAATTGAAATAATAGTCAAGTAAGTAAAAAGTTTGGGTACAAGTTGGTCAGAATCCTCATCGGTCATGTTATTTAAGCGTTGTTTAGATCTAGTCGTGTATTCATTCATTTCAGTTACTAATTTAATAGGAAGTTCTTGCAAAAATACCTCGAATTATAAGCGCAATTGTTTTGTCAACATGGGAGTAAATGTTAATATCGCGGGAATTTCATTTTTTCTGGTCAAATTGAAGTCAAGTATTCCTATTTGTTCCACGATTTCGTTCATTGTTCAAAAATGTTGATTATGATTAATTATATTAAAACAATAATCTTCCTTATTAATATGTAAGAGAATATTTTGAAAATATGGGTTTTCAAAGTGTTGAACGATTTCGGAAATTTTCTGTCAGTATTTTAAGACGACGTTCATTTTTAGTATCTCAATTCAACCAGCTCAGATTAACTTGAAGATGTGCACCTTTTTCCGAAAGTTCTGTGATTTAGTCAGTTTAATTAATAAATAAGCTGTTTTCTGCTTTTGCTACAATCGAAAAAATTGAGCACTTGTAGAAAATATTCGGCATATCGAGAATCGGAAATATTCAGCTAATTAAGGAATTTTTACATTTAAAAAAGTGAAATGGAAAAATAGTTGCAGGCCGCCAGAACATATTGGAGGTCTGCAACTTTCGCTTAATGAGTAACTCATTAAGCGAAAATTTGAAGAAACGAAGCAAATATTATTATTTTCTTTAGCATAAAAGTACCTAATATAATTTATAAAATTTTAAACGTAGAATAAATGTTTAAAAACAGTCTACATAGTTTATTGAAAAAAAAATTGTTTTTAATTAAAAAAAATTTTTATTTCAATTTTCACATTACTAAAGATGTATTTGTTGCATTCCAAATATTTTTAAATGGATAAATATTGATTGATTCTAAAGATCTCTTTACATACTGCTTTGCATTTGCTCTACAGAATATCGAATGAAAGAAAAATAGTTTAGAAACTTTGGTTACGAAAAGTTTGAATTTATGAAATTTTTTGAGCCACGGTTTTTTAAAATAATTTGATCATTTGCTTCCTGCCTTTGCATGGTTTACTTCCATTATTTTGTTATTAGGTGTGTTTACTCGATTATAATTAAAAACTTCTCTTTATTCTTTAACAAACTTCTCATGGTGTAGAATTTCATAAATCAGTTGGAAAGGTCTGCTTTTAAAAACTTTATTTCTCAAATTAATACAATAATTTTAGAACCGAGCTAATCTTAATGTCGAGCTTATAGACTTAACGTGAACATGGATCTTATTGACTTAATAACGTAATGTGAAATATTGTTGACTAAATGTTCGTTTCTGCTGTGACTTCTTTTATATTTAAATCATGCTGATCATTGCAGAAACTATACTACGTCTTATTTTAAAAGAAAGCATAAGTGACTATATACTTGTACTTAGTATAATATTTTATCATTTATTATTATTTTTAGAGACTTATCGCCAGCACTACTGCAAACAAGAAGCGTCTTTTACCTGGCTGATCAGAGATTGCTCAAATATGGACATTTAGTTCTACCGCAAAAAGGACAAAACTATGGTCCAACATATTTTTGTAAACTTCAACGAATTAAATAACAATAGATGAAAATAAATACTTGTGTGACTCAGTTTAATTCAAATATAATCAAATCCCACAAACTCGATCCAAAAAATATTAAATTTTAATGCCGTTTGACCATTAAAAGAAAGTAACACTTTCTATCTGTTGTTCTTAAAACGTTTAAGTAATTAATTCGGACAACCCATACAATGTTATCCCGATTCGAATATTACAGAAAAGTGTTTGGACTGTGAAGACTTCCTTTCTAAATAAAACCAGAATTTCTACACACTGTAAAATGCAATTTTAATTCTGTGTGCAGTTGAAATGTTACAAGCTGAATCAAATATATGAATTAAAAATAATATAAAGTGAATTATTTAATCAGAAATAATGATATTTTCTCTCTTATACCTATAGGTAAAAATAATAAATTCAAAATAGGATCGATTTAATTTTATGTGGAAGTTGAAAAACCCCATAAAACGATTTAAATATTAAACGATGTGCATGTATACTGATATAGTAAATTGACCTATCAAGATTAAAATCAAAATAATTACGTCCCTGTGCGATTTACAACTAATCTCTAATTATAAGCTACACCTAATTAATCAGAGACTTTCCATTGCAAAGTGGCTTCCGTTTTTTGAAATTAACAGATACAATTTACACTTTTTAAGGCATTTTCGCCCAATTAAACAAATAGAACGCAGCATCCACCTGGGCGTTACGTGTGCGTTTTACACTTGACCATCGTTCACGGTAAGTAAAACATTTTTTTTTCTGGCAGCTTTTGTTGCTTTATTAAATGATGCGCCTTGTTTGGTACTCACTCAGTGACGCACACTTTAATTAATTCTCTTAATTAGCTAAAATGTCAGACAGATTTTATTACTTCGCCTTTCACTTAAATTTCTCAAAAAATTGTTCCAAACCAATTTGATTTGGACTTTGCGGGTTTCAAAAAAATTCACTTTTAGTAAATCGATAATGTTTTATTATACATACTGGGCGGGTGAACATTTGCTACACATCTCAAAATTGCCAAACTTTTTTTTTAGTGCAACATTTGCACAGTTTTCAACTCCTAAATGAAGTTGCTCAGTTATCCTAGCTTAGAAGTGAGTTGATTCCGAATATAATATTTGGATACATTATTAGAATCACTCAGTATGTAATTAATTTAATGATAATTTGGGATAAATTTACCCGTGCTCAATAGGTAGGTGTGCTTAAAATTGTTGAATAAAATATGTTCCTAGGAAGCGATAGGTAGCCAGATCTTATTCACGTTTTAAGATGTTTAAAATGTCAATTAGTTTTTTTCCAGATTACGGTAAAACTGAATGGCTATGACTCAATTTAAAGCATATAAAAATGAAATTTCTCAATCTGCGTGCCTACATATTATATTTTAATTTATGTTGTGTGTTTTCTAGGACAATAATTTGCGTAGAATTGCTAAAAAGCCAACAAAAGCAAAAAGTTGAAATTATTTATAATGAAATAAATAAAGCGGAATTTCCATAAAAGGCGACACTGTCTAGATATGGAATTTCAGCAAAACAATTATTCAAGTTGAACTAGAGGTGACAGCAGAGACACTTTCTATAATTTTTTTTCATTCTAGTCGTCTTGGATTCTTCTTGCTAATTAAATTTGTATTATAATAAGGAACACCTTGACCAGGAGAAATGGACTGTTTGAATTCTCACCGCAAATAAATTAGGTTGATTTTGAAAAAAATCACCCATTCAAGAAAATCGTGCCGATAGCTCGAAGAGAGAATTGCAAAGCAAATTTCGTTTTGCCATCAAATGCCAAATATAAATAAAATAATAACCTTTCTCAATTGATGTATATCTGCGCCAAAGTGGAGCAGTACAATATACCATTTACTTATGTAGGCTTAAATCTGCTTAATTTTCGTGTTTTATTGTCTGTAACGTAGAATGACCTTTATCTTGTAGTTTATTGATGGTGATTTGGGGCAGAAAGGCTAGAAATCTTAATTATGGTTGATATATGAGCTGAAATGAACATGAGTTAGATTTATGTCCAGCTCGTTCTCAAGTCAACGAACCAAACCAGCAAGCATGAGTACCTACATTTTTGAATATCTTTCCTTTTTTCTTTTATAACAATAACACTTATTATTTAATTACGATTTTTTTATAATTAAAAAGGGTGACTGTATTCATTAATTATAATCAATTCTTATTCTATTTTCCTGCCGCGATTGTAGTACTTTATGGCTGTAGTAAGCCGAAGCGAAATTAACATAATCCTCCGGAGAACCATAGAATTATCGAAAATAATATTTTAGGGTATAATTTAACGAACAAATATTATTATTCTTATTTTCTTCGTTGCAAATCGACCCCCAAAGCAAATTACGTTTTAGACGTACAACGATGGACTGTTGAAACGCGAATCTCATTCTTCACATCCACTTGACTACATCATAAAACTAATGTTTGCATATTTTCCGGTAAAATTGTAATTTTAAATCGCCCATTCAAGCATCACGTTAAACTGTCGTTTTTCATTTTATGAACGAGCGAGTTATACCTACACTATATAATAACCGAGTCTTCCTTATCAATATTAAACGCTATATATTTTCCACAGAACGACTAGCACAATTAGATGCTCCTAGAACTACCTACCGTAGGTTGGAAAAAATGGGCATTTGCAAAATGAAACACGAAACCGTTTGCATAAATGTAGACAAATTGTTGCAGGATGTAGCAGATGCTTTACATTAGAATAAATATTATTTGGTTGATTTATCTGAAGACGCATTTAATTGCCTTGGTTTAGAAAACTACATCGTTACAACCGGTTTGTCGACGTCAAGTAACGATTTTATTTCATATTTCGACAATTACATTTTGAACTATAAGATACTGTTGAAATATTCAAGAATATTAATTTTCTCTGGTTTGCAGACTAAATAAAGTGAATGCACCTTAGACAGAAGAGTCCTAATTCAGTCATTAAGTAATTACCATTAAAATGGCGCTAAATTATTCAAGCAAGAGACCATGGAGACATCTTGATTGATTTGCAAATAGGAAGTGTTAGCTTAAAAGGTGCTCATATTGTGTTTGCTTTGTAAAGTGTGAAATTGTATTAGGGAAACGTTTATGTTGTATTGCCAAAGCTCATGGTTGCCTCTGCACAATTCTGCCACATATTCATGGAGCCCGAATTTATGGAAGCTTTAATTTAAAAGTACTTTTTAACATGTTTAATGTAAGATAGGATCCTAAGATCAGAAGCTATGATTTTTCTCCCTGTACTATTTATCGAAAATTTACTATCTCTAATGGACAAAAATTCCATAATCTGCATTCTCAGATATTCATTCTCGGAATTACTCGCCAATGAATGGGAAATCATATGCCGAGCTTTTCGTCCGATTTGTATGGTTTTGCTTGTTTTAATCCCCTGTAGTTTATGAGCGGAATATATTAAATTCGTATTTTTCATTTCCTACCGCAATTAATATATAAATTTATGCCAATTGTTGGTCCGATGCTATGCTAAAATCAATTAATTTCTCAGCTTCCTATAAGGGAAATATTTAATTGAGATTATTTTCTGGTTTAATGTGTACGCATTTCATGCAAATTGCTAATTTATTGAAACTGTGACGCTCCAAAGCAATTTTCCAATTACTTTGCATCTTGAATAAAATGATGCACTTTTGCGCGTTTTTATCCAAAATTCACTATTTAGAAATTGGATTAATCCAGGATGCTAATTTGTACTTAAATGCCTTTGAATAGTTTATGATATTATATAGCTTTCCCTCTAAGTAATTTAAGATCTAATTTATATTAATGCGGAAAATGTTGCAAAAATTAAACATTTGGCTAAAAAAATATTTTGTGGGCGCCTATTCAATTACCTAAGGCAATCAAAATATTGAATAGTGTTTCGCTAAACCTGTAAGTTATACAGGAAATATTGCTGTGTTTGTATTTTTTTAATTGACCTTGTTCAGTTAATTACAATGAGCTTTTGATGATATCAATTTAGGGGATCGGACAGGCTCGCGATTTATCTGAAAAAAATTTACCAAATCTTTCACATCTTCATATCTTTCATATCCGTGAGATTCGTGGGATTCGCCGTTTTATGAAAATAACCGTTTTATGAAAAGTCTTTGTGCTGCTCCACAATGTACATTAGGTCGGACCTTAATTTTTTTTCTTCGGGGACTTTCTCCTCGTGTGAAAATCTCCTCTATATGCTCTAAAAACGCTGCACAAATCATAATTTGACTTTTAAAATCGATTTATCACGTGCCTCAAAGCACCTCAAGCAACACGTATTAATTTTTTATCCTTCTAAAGACCGGTCTAAATTTCGGATTTTTATTATTGAAGCTATTTTTTTATGTATCTTAAGCTGCTGAATAGAGCAAGTATCGTCGAAAAATAGTTACAAGCAAAAATCCTCGGAAACCTCAAAAGATGAAGAAAAAAAGGCAACAAATTTACCTGTAACGACTATAATCATTCAATTTTGTTTTAAATTATAGATATATTTTTCCAGCATTCCAGCATTTCCTGCTGAATCCGTAGTGCGCTTATATTTTGCCTCCGAAGCGATAAAATAAGTTATAAGCAAAAACCGTCAGAAAACTTGAAAAATTCGTGGAAAGAAACCAGATAATTTTCTTGCAACTTTGAATGTCAATACAAAAATCGTTTTTTTTTCTCATATTCATATGCTTTTATGTATTTTCAGTTGCTGAATGGAATCATGCCATGAGTTTTTGCAAAAGGTCGGCGAAAAAAAAGTTAAAAAAAAACTCGACAATCGAATGAATGGGATGAAAACTATATACATTGCACATTAGGAAGAATTAAATTTTAATTTCCCGTTTTAAAAGTACGCGCATTGATATGAGCAACAAGTAAACTTTGCACCAATTATTGAATTCATCGACTTAAAATGAGCGTATAACATGAATTAGCGAAACATTTTTCAGCATATTAAAAGTTACATATTAATTTATTGATGCAATCCAAATATCAACTAATAAAAATT